TTATTTATCATTAGTTTTGATTAATTATAATTTAGTCCATTTAAAGATTTAGTTGAGTAAATTGTATTGTAAAATAGTTTGAATATAAAACTTAATTAAAAAATTTGGGGTTAAAGTGTAATTTTTCAGAACTACATGTTCCACATAATTAGTGTCACGTAAGCATACCATGAAATTCCGTTAAAAAAATTAGCGGTAGTTTATTGGATAAATAAATTTAAAATAATTTCAAAATTTATAAATAATTTTAAAAGAAATTAAACTTTTTAAACTAAAATGAAAACAAAGTAATAATTAATAGATAAAAAATTAAATTTAATCTTTAATTTTGAATTGTTGGCTTTCAAAATGGCAAGAGAATAATAATTAATAAATGAAAAATTAAATTTAACCCTTGACATTAATTCGTTGACTTTCGAACTCCTTCCGGGGCAAGGAGTTTAGGAAGCGTGTCCAAGTTTAAAAAAAAAAAAAGAAAAAGAATTTAGGAATCGTGTCCAAGTTTTAAAAAAAAAAAGAAAAAGAATTTAGGAAGCGTGCATCTGAAGCAGCAGCCAATCGGCATTACCACTGTATAAATAGCAGCACTCACCCAATTCTTCGCATTCCATCTCTTCAACATCCCCTGATTTCAGAAATGGCCTCCATGTTTTCCAGATCCGAGATGTCTAACATTGCATCCACATTGCTCTCCACCTACGCCTCCTTTGCCGGAACCTTAATGCTCCTCCGAACCATGGCAAGAGAGCTCATTCCTGAGCAGCTCAGATCTTACTTCTTCTCCCTTTTTCACTACCTCTTCACTCCTCCCTCTACCAACCTCACTCTCGTTATCAACGAATCCAGCGGGGTGTCAAGTAATGAAGTCTACAATGCCGCCGACCTCTATCTTGCCACCAAGATCAGCCCCAAAACAGAGAGGCTCAAGCTCAGCAAAACCGAGAGGCAAAAGAATTTCGCGATGTCAATCGAAAAGGATGAAGAGGTCGTCGATATTTTTGAGGGAATTGAGTTGAAATGGAGGTATAACTGCATAGAGCCTCGCGAAAAGCATTCTGCAGAGAAAAAATTCTTTGAACTCAGCTTCAACAAGAAGTTCAAAGATAAAATCGTCGACTTTTATTTACCTCATGTTTTGGCCAGGGCTAAACAAATCAAAGAAGAGTCCAAAGTGGTTAAGATCTATAATCGTGACTGTCCTTGCGGCGATGATGATACTGGCATCTGGGGTTCCATGAATCTTGAGCATCCAGCCACATTTGACACCGTAGCCATGGATTCGGAGCTGAAGAAGATGATAATCGATGATTTGGAGAGGTTCGTGAGGAGGAGAGAGTTCTACAAGAAAGTGGGGAAGGCCTGGAAACGAGGGTATTTGTTGTACGGCCCTCCAGGCACTGGAAAATCGAGTTTGATTGCTGCCATGGCCAATTACCTCAAGTTTGATATATATGATCTGGAGCTTGCAAGTATATACTCCAATTCGAACTTGAGAAACGTATTGTTATCAACAACTAACAGGTCAATTATTGTGATCGAGGACATAGATTGCAGCATTCAGGTTCAAGACAGAGAAAATGGCTTAGAATCTGATAATTCAAACAGAAGGGTGGGTACCATTTTCGGGTTTGATTAAAGACCATT